CTAGTCCCCAAGCACGGAAACACCCGAGCTAAGGCAACTCAAGGTAGGAGTTAGGGTGTGGAACCTTCCTTACATAGACTGCTTGACACGCAACGTCAGTAGGCTAGTCCATCGACTGGACATGTAAAGCCACAACCACCGACTATTCGCACTCCTGCTTGCGGAACAGACGCCATCGGCCATGTGTCATAATAAAAACTTTGGTTGCGACCACCCTGACTTCACCGTACGGATGTTTTTGGCCAAGCTCTCCGCCCTACAGCTCCGTTTGGCAAGCCCAATTTGGCCGCCCAAGTGATGCTGATATCGCATAACGGTCACCCTCAAACTTGAGATTCCGCATCCAAATTTGTCATCTATATACCAGCATTCATTGAATACAGACGAAGAGTTAACACCTTTCCCCACCTGTTGCGGCTGTCTGGTTCTTAGCCTGAGCTATGTAGGTCTTCATCTCCTTCCATGGATGTGATCTTCCGGGCACCTCGCCGACTTCCGCGATCCTGGTTCCCACTACGCCATCGACTCGGAGTCTGCACGGCATCGTGCTTCCAAGGTGAGCAACTTATTCAGGCGTACCACGGCGACTCAGATAGCACGTTGTCCGGTTGATGGCTACTTAGCGCGCTCTTGGTTGGCAGCGTTAGGTTGCCCGGAATGATCGCCCACCTGTTCAGCTAGCTGTGGCATAAATGGAGCGTCCACGGGTAGCGGATAAGACGGTCGTTAGCGAAGTGTCCGCGAAACAAGCAGACTTACATGCGTTTGACAAACTGGCAACCCAATGAAGTGATCGAAGACTTAAAATGAATTGTTACAAAGCCGAAAAACGGCACTACGGATCGTCACTAGGTTGTACCTCTTGTCACCATCATCTTGGAGTTAAGTCCTACAGAACTATGGTCGATTATTAGGGACAACATGCGACAAATGCTCCCAAATTTCAAAACTAGTCCAAGCTTACTAATAAGGTAGGCCAGGAGCAAAGGCCAAACACTCCCGAGTCACTTAGGATCGTTTGCGCAGTACAACCCACGGGGATGGTCGGCAAATGCGTATAGCAAAAATTCCCCGTTCGAGAACTACAACTGCGCTACAGCATTCGCGACGACACGCTTGACAGTCCGCCTACGGCTGTGCATAGACAATTCAGCTATTAAAGCACCATTTCAACGGGCAGCAGCAGGGACGGGTTAACAAGTTCAGTCGACCCGACCTGTTAACCGCTGGCGTCGGCTGTATAGTCCCGACTGGAGAAGGCGACCCTTGAAACAAGCTCCTGGTTAACTGTTTTGAACTTAACTCTCGGTGCATGAACCATAAAGGACTGCTAGGTCTTGACCAAACAAAATGCTGGACATCGGCACTGTTTTTGCTATAGTCTCCAACATCTGTTAACCGCGCACCTCACCGGTGACCTTACGATCAGCCCGATTAGTCGCACTACAGTTCGACAACGGTTCCGTAGCCGTATGCACGACTGTGAACCGATGCATTACGCTAAAACCGGCAACTCGGGCCGGCTCAGGGTCAGAGGTCTGGAAGCCCACTTCTTATCTGCATTCCAACTGCACAGTTCCAGGTGCCTTAGTGGTAGAAAGTACGTCAAACAGCATGAACCTAAATAAACCCGTCGTCGTCTTAACGTCCGGATAGACAGGGGTATTTGCTAATAGCCGTCGAGGTCTTCAATGAGCGGGGGAATGGGTGAAGCATCGCATTTGCACGGCGACGAACTCTGGTCTTCGCTCGTAATAGATCCTAAGAATATGAATATGCCCCCCTTGACGATCCCGTAAAGTAACGTCCAAGTTGGCTAGACAAAAGGGCACTGGCTACTAACTAGTAACGAAAACTTCCATGGAGCGTGATCAGAACGTCTTAAAAAATAAGTCCAACAGCCCATTTTACCAAGTTATTCGCAAGCTTCCTGGGTCAAGTGACGGTCTGACACGTTAATACGATGACTGGAGTTCAGTCATCCTTCTGCAGGTACTTGAGGAAGCAACACAACGCCGTCTCACGGGCCTTGACCTTAAATGTGACACTAGAACTAAACGTGAAACAGTGCCTAGCTTGGCGTGCACGCACTGACAAAATGTCAGCCCTGACGAGCATGCGCGGAATCCGATATTTGGTCTCATCGGGTTGGCAGCAGCGTTCGACCCGTTAGTAGGGTCCCTGAAGAGTACTGTGTGCAGGCCGTGTACTACCGTCGTGCCAGTGCATAGAATTTTATGTCCAGTACCTCTAAACCAATAAACGGGCGAGCGGCAGACAAAGATATCCGTGTGCTTACCCCATCTAGTTGATCGGATTACCAAATGAACTGTACGTGTCTTTTGTGGTGCGACTCAGACGAAGACGCCTGAACGAACTCATACGCCAGCGAGACTACTGCCGCCAGAAAGCTAAAACAACCCAGTCCTGAGTGAGCAAAATGGATAAACGCACGAGCTTGTCGGCTTCGCAGCAGTCAAGTTCTGACCAGAAGTCAGTCCCCGCGAGGTATGGTCGTTCGCCTGAAAAGAGAAGCAGTCCTAAGTATGGTAGGAGTTTTGCCGAACGGACGATCAAGGGGGAGGTTTTTTCACTTTGTTGAAGTCGGCCCTTGGCCGTGTGAGCGGACACGAAAGACCACCAACTACCACTAACACCCGCGCGTTTGTGAGTACTGACAAAGGGTTTGAAGATGCGGGTAAATTAGCTGCTCCCACGAATTTGGACATAATGACTCTTGTGCGAAACAGACTTCATGTAAGACAAGTCAGTCTGCACACGTAGCGTCACGAAGACACCCTGAGTATAAACTCCGCTGTACCGAAGACTGCTGCTTCAAATCTAAAGCTTGCCCGCACTTGGGCGACAAAGGCGGCGGCTGCAAGCCTATCACGATTTCCATGTGATCCTTGGACACAAACATGCGGCTTTCAGTACAAGAGGGACTCACAAAATCTATGTTTGCGCGGGAAACATTATATGGCTTATAGTTAAAGCTAGTTCTATCACATAATATCGACTGCACTGCCAGTCAATTAAAACCGGGCAAAACAACGACCTTGATGCAGTGCTCCACCGTAGGCACTGACGTCGCAACGAAGCGACGCATATAAAGGAGGAACATCTGGGCATACCGTATATGGGATTCAGTCTAGGCACTAGGCAGCTACGCGGTCCGAAAGCACCGTAGGTCATATAGTCCGTCTGGGAAAATACCTTGGGTTTCGAAAGCAGTGTCAAATCCCAGGAGCTGAACCGAACTGTCCCAGCTCACAACTTCACTGCATGCTGCTGTCCGCAACACTCGCACCCTACTAATCGGTTTTGAAATCTGTGACACGAGGGGAGCCTAATACTCGACGTTGGAGGAGCGGATGCACATCCTTGGCGCTTGTACGGCTGACAGAAGACGTGACGTTGGGAAAATGACCGCTGTATACGAAGAAGAGAAATCGAAACATGACTCTTACCCCCCTAGCTTGATAACATAGAATGACGAACCAGCCGGAATACTTAACCAGCTGTCAATACCAAAACCAATAAAAATGACGTGCGCCAGTGCCTACAGGGCACATCTCTGGTAGCATTCTACTCACCCAGGGTTAGCCCGGAGGCGGGCCAGTATTGCGATTGACCGGATTTTTTCAGCAATCTTAGCGGACACTGTCCACACGGGGACCGTAGGCTGACGCGCCTTCTTGGGCGAATTGAGGGTGTTGTAGTCAGAGGCGATTTAAGCCGCCAGACAGGGGCCTAAATTCCGGAAAAAGTGCGGCGTGCGCACTGCATGCGTGCGTACGCGCAAAGGAATCCTCCAGCGTGACGTGCGAAACGCACTCGAGTGAGCATTAAGCAGGGGGTGTAGCAGAAAAGCTCCTTTCCTCGCACAGATCGAACAGTGTCTGCCACTCAGCTTACCAGCCCTACATTAGCCCGCAAGCCAAACGGGCCAGCAAGTGTCAAGCCCTGGGCGACTAAATGCTATCTGGGATGTATAAACTCAGAACAGCGGTCAAGTCTTTTCGAAGCGACAGGGTGTTGTCTTCAAAGTAAAGACGGTACACGCAAGTAACCGTAGTCAAATCAGATTGGGCCTAAAATGGTGAGGTCGGATGACGCTAAACATGCACACAATTAGACATAGTAAAGAAACTGAAAGGTAGGTCTCAAAAGCCTAATCAGAAAGCACCATACTACCGGTCAAAAGGCAATTAAATCTCCGAAAGGATTCTCTTTAAATCAATAACTTTACAAACGTCGTCCACGACGACCGCCCTTCCTTCTTGTGCTGTCGGTGGGAATCGGAGTGACGTCTTCGACCCGCCCAATCTTCATTCCAGATCTAGCCAAAGCACGCAGAGCTGACTGGGCCGCTGGGCTTGGGGTGCGAGCCCTGAGAAGAAAACTGATCAGATGCCTAAGTGACTTACTTGGTGCCACCTGTAGCTCTTATGCGAACGTGAAGGGCAGAGATTCCTAAAGCTTTGCAGCGTTCTGCGACATCTTGGGCAGCAAGCATAGCTGCGTAAGGACTAGACTCCTCACGATCAGCGCGAACTTTCATTCCGCCGGTCACACGGACAATAGTTTCAGAGCACGTAGAATCAGTAACGTGCACAAATGTGTCGTTGAAGGAAGCATATATGTGGCACACACCAAAGACGATCTCCTGAGGTTCAATAGAAGCCTTCAGAGAGACTTGTTCCTCCGCTTGAAGCTTTGCTGTCTTCCGTCTAGCTGCCATCGATAGCAGAAAAAGAGACCCCCTTATCACGCTCAGAAATTAGACAAAGTGCGGATTTGACCGTTAAAACAAACATAGAACGAGGAAATCCGGATAAATATAATCAGTGTTAATACAACCAAAATAAGAACATTTTTCATTTAAAAAAATGATTTTTCGGCATGGCCCAAAAATAGTAGAATAAGCAGACACAGTTCCACCTGCGTGTTGTTTATCAAGAAGAACCCAAAATATTTTGTTCAAACTGGGAAGGATAAGCAAGTAGTCAGTTTCTCCTATATACTTTGTACCTTTTCCTGCCATATAGAAAGGGTGTCTGCCAAACCAACGGCGAAAATGATTAGGCCGTACCCTCTTGGAAGGTGGCTGTGGTGGACAATGGCGATTTATGCCTTAATTATAGCCTATAGGAATTAGGCACAGAGAGCGATGAGGTGATGGAAAGGAGGCTCTTTAAAATTGTCGTAACACGAGTCGGCAAATAACAGAACGAAACGATCTCGTTATCTTTTTACGAACATTCTAAACGCAAATCTAAATTAACTGGATTACTTTCAGAGGAGTCTCGCCCAGCACATATTCGCATTTAACCTGCACAGTTTCCACTTAAATGCGCTGCTATATACTGATTTCTTAGACAAGGAATTGGCGTACGCACCCACACCTAAGCGAAAATAAATCAGGAAATCTATGCCATCAAACGCTCTCAAAGTTTATTGCTTGCCGGTGTACTTTAACTTTTAGCTCCTGAGCCCTGTCCATGTGAGAGGTCTTTAACTTTGGACAGTAATATTGCACGCTAACCACCTATGAGACGGGAAAAAGCACACCATTTTTATTTGGTGCTGCTTATGGATCACAGTTTACCCGTCTTATTTGGGCATTTATCACATATGTACAAACTGCTATGTGCAATGTATCAGTTATGGCGCATGCTTCGGTGCCATGGACAGTTTGAAGTCTTAATACCAGTTTAGTTCATATTACTAAGTTTGACTAAGTCTAGATTACCCATCAGAACCTGGCACTAGTCATATATGGTTTTCTGAATTATATTTTATGTTTGCTTCTTACGTTTTAGGCATTAAACAGTCACCGTGAGGTCTTTTTATTTCTTCCTCTGGTACGTACCATTAAATACCGTCTGCCCTTTTCTGTAAATTCAATTGTTATTTGGAAGAAACTACCCAGGAATGTGAAAACTCCTTAAAATTATCCCTTATTTAGGAGAACTATTACTCAATTTTTGCATTCAGAAAAACTCCCACACATTTTGGGTGCTGAACCCACTGATCGACTTTACCGTAGCGATGACGTTTCTGGTCTGTGATTTCCATGGCCGGTCTCACCAGGAACAATTTATTTTGCCAACAGCGACAGCTGTTCTTCGGCGCTTCTGGTTGGACCGGCCCCAACTTCATGAAAAGAATTGGCGACTGAGAGTATCCGATAAAGTGAAACCCCTCCCTTCTTGACTGTCGGCATCCTGTGGGCAGCGGTTTTTTCTCCTCAACCCTCCAAAACATAAAAACCAGCATCAACTTTATTTTTATTCCTTTTACGACAGGAGTTTTTTTTAACTGCTGGCCGGATTTGTGTTTAACGCCCCCTGACCATGCCTGTAAACTTGCATTAAATACAATTATTATTAAGGAAGAAAGCGAATGAACAATCAGGCGACGTCTTAGAAGGGCATCAAAGAAATGCTCAGCAAAATACATGAGGGCACTGATTTCCATGTGTGAATCTAACACGAATCCGTCATCTGTCTACTCATCGGACATGGACTGAAGTGAAAGTAGAAGCATGACGCCGTCTACTTAGCTAGCAGATGCTGCTTCTATTGTAGAAATTGACACCTTCGATAACATTTTCTTTATGGATGACTTTCGAAGCACTTGCGCACAGAGAAAAGGTGGCGTAAATTAAAATCTTCCGAAAATTACTTTCCATTACCGTGTATAATTTCTGTCTTCTGTCTTTCTGTCTTATCATGCCGTCTCTTTTTATTTACTGTAGTAAATTAACAGCAGTGTTTGTCTTTCTGTGCGTATTGTTGCAATCCTGCAGCGTTTTGATCTGTGCATGATAAGGAATAACTTGCCTAGATCTCGTAATGTCCCGAAAGAGAACTCCAAAAAGACCAAAGCCCATGGCCTCCCTACCGCCTCTGAATGTCAGAATCATGGCCGAAGACACGGCGTGCCAACGTGCCTCCACAAACTCCTCTAGTTATGGTTGACTCAAAAATCCCTTTTGTGCATATTGAGCTACTTAATTCTTTGGTCGCTCGAAAATACTTCTTCGCTGGTCTCGACAGAAAGCCATCTGACGAAATAGTAGATCATTTGGTATAGGACGATGTAAACAGTACCTTCGAGAGAGTTACTGAACAGCTGTCTGAAGCGATTGAGATAATAAGCTTCGAAACTGAGGAGGGATTCAAACGGAAGCACAATGTCATACTGCGTAATATTCTCAACCACGTATCTGCTATCGGCGGTGTGTATATGTTGCTGCAAAGTTGGGGCTTGGGGTTGAGTGTAGCGCACACTAAATTTCCGCGCTCTCTCAACCGTAGCACTCCGACATTAGATACTGTCTTCTCGGTTGTAGTCAACTGCACCTTGGTGGAAAAAGAAATGGCAAGGAAGATTGACCAACTTGAAAACTTAGACAGCCAACACAGAATTGCCGTCCTGTTGTCATTTTGAATAAGTCTTATACAACTTCATCTGCGGCCATCACACGACAGCACACTCTGTAGGGAACTGGCCTGGCGTCAAGCCTGATATTTCCCAACACAACAATAGCTTTTCATGCCTGCACCCTTACCTACGCCACCAGTAACCCCTAACAAACCAGGCAACTGTCTAATACAAGGATAAGCTCAAAGCGATTTCAGCCCCTTGAACACTGAAGAAATCAGTTTATCTGAGAAAATGTCCCCTTCACAAACCGCCGCCGCCACCACCTTCAAACTCCACGTCTCCAAACACAGTATATTTCTAACTGCTTCTCACGCCTTACATCACAGCGGTCAAACCGAATATTCCAATATTCTCGTCTAGAAATGGAATTCCCGATCCACTCTCTGACATGTTCCCTCAACGGTCGAACAAGTGGAATGGTCATACAAATGTTCATACTGGGTCAGTACACTCCCCCGGTTATCAATGTCAGTTCGACGGGAATACTTTGCAGTAGCCTGTCAGTGGAATTCCTACAGAAAATCAGCCAGAAAGCGGTAGTAGTCATTTTCCCTACCCATTTCCTACTTTTCTTTATCCTCATCGGGTTCTTTCGATGCAAAAAGATATTATACAGAACTGGACTGGAACATTCGGACGGGACCCCCAAGGGACTTTCAATAAAACCATTTGTTTATTTATCATTATTTATTTGTCAGACTCGGTCTAGAAGTTAGTTGTTTTTGCACGCCCGTTGTCTGAAGACGAACTACAGGACCAGTCTCGAAAATTTACACAATAAAGTCTTCTGTTTCCCAAAGAATTCCATCTACCCAATTTTGTTTATCCCTATGTCCCGTGGACAGTCCACCACCGGATAACGTAGCTAACCTCCCTCAGAAACAGACACTCTTTCCATTAACCCTTTTGTTTTAAATACCCGATCCTTTCCCAATAAGATGTCTCCGATTTATGCTATGACGTTCGCCCACTGTCCGACATTGTCGAAGTAGCTGACGCATGGGAAACAGCTTCCGTATCTGACTCCGAACTCTCCCTTCTAGCTATTAGTACATTCGAGATGACCATCAAGAGACCCGTGGAGGAGGAAGCTGCGGTTATGTTAAATAAACACTTGCATTTCTGCCGCCGGACATCTGGCATTTTTTCTCGATAGATAGTAGCTGCTCTAAGTTGCTTTAAAAATAAGTCCTCTTTACTCCTCGGCTGTGTCTATCATCCAATCAGCGCCAGTGGGGACTTTGACCTATGTCTCTCACAAGCATTCCATGCCGCGGGCGACTAAGACCTTAAGCATCCCTTGGTTGCGGGGGACTTTAATCTTTCTGAAGTTCGCTGGTCTCCACCTTCCGACTTTAAAAAGTTCAAAAACTTACTCGGGATTGTGAATTTCAGCAAGGGGATCCAGGTTCTCAATTTTCCCACTATATGCTCTACCGTACTTGATATAATTTCCTGTGGAGATTATCTCCCCTTATCAGTGTCACCCCTAGGCATACTCGGGGGCTCAGAACACGACATAGTTGGTTTTAAGTTAGAGCTCGAAATTGATGAAATTTTGTCCCCTTAAGATCGCTTTTCCACAATTTCCGATTATCCCATTGGACAGAATTAGTAACACACCTTAATTCCTAGGACTGGACTGCTTTTTTTAAAGTTCAGTTGTGAATGCGTACAACCAGGAAAACAACACGCACCTATGTACGGTCCAAAAAACGAAGGCCGCTTACATACACGCAGACCAGCTGAGGAAGATGGCCAGGAGGCCAACGAAGGATTGCCGGAGACTCCCAACTATGTTGAATAATAAAGATATCGGAACACCTTGTGGGCCGAAACCAAGTCAGAATATTGCAGAGGAGGCTTCGAAAGAAACTGAGGTTTGCTTTTTTGACGAACAACACGGATACACTGAAGGAATTGATGTCAAGACGAAGGTGAATAAATCGTACATGGATCTCAGTTTCTCTAACCCAATAGCTAGTTCATCCGGAGCCGCTGAAACAAGTAAACTGGTAAAAGACGCTCAGTAAGACAAAAAGATGTGCGAAAAATCAGACGCTAGGTTCAGTCGCAAGCAAAATGTAATTAAAAAGGACTACACGTTACAGCATATATCACGGACGCGAGCAACTTAACAACTCATCTGGATACAGCTATAAAGGCGGTCCTAGAGTCTGAGACTCAATCTATCGCCAGCAAAAGAGGGTAGGATACAACCACCAGTTTTTCCCCGAGAGATCGCGTTGTGTGGTAGTACAAGGAGTTCCTGAAGCACCTGGTGACACC